GAATGGTATTCTGGCGCAGTTCCGGATTTTCAAACGGTTGCCTTCCAAAAGGGCACTTCCCTCAATGAAAACGAACCTTGTAGGGGCCTACGTATGAAGAGGGCGCATGCAGGGAGGGTGTATTGCAATACCGTTAATGAGTGGGTTTGCACTGGTCCTCTCCCCCCCATCCCCCTGGTCCGTGCGCCTCATAAACCGGGCCGGCCGCCGGGAGGGTGGGTGGGGGGGGGACTCCTGGCGCCAGCGCCGGGGCCCTGCTGGTGCAGCGCCTGCGATGGAGCCACGGGGGGAGTGAGGGAAGGAGGAAGGGAGGGAGGCAGGAAGGCAGGAAATTCCTCTCCTCCTCCTCCTCCTCCTTCTCCTCCTCCTCCTCCACCTCCGCCTCCACCTCCTCCTCCTCCTCCTCCTCCTCCAACTCCAACTCCTCCTCCTCCTCCTCCTCCTCCTCCTCCTCCATTTCCTCCTCCTCCTCCTTTTCCTCCTCCTCCTCCTCCCTCCTCCTCCTCCTCCTCCTCCTCCTCCTCCTCCTCCTCCTCCTCCTCTCCTCTTGGCTGAGGGGAGGAGAGACTAAGGGAGAAAGGCAGGAAATTCCTCTCCTCTCCTCCGCCAACTCCACCTCCTCTCTCCTCCTCCTCCTCCTCCTCCTCCTCCCTCCTCCGCCTCCTCCTCCTCCCTCCTCCTCCTCCTCCTCTCCTCCCTCCTTCCTCTCCTGCTCCTGCTCCTGCTCCTCTCTCCTCCTCCTCCTCCTCTGGCGGCGGGGAGGGAGGGAGAGAGGGAGGCAGGAACTCCTAACCTCCTCCTCCTCCTCCCTCCCTCCTCCTCCACCTCTTCCTCCTCCTCCCTCCTTTTCCTCCTCCTCCTCCTCCTCCTCCTTTTCCTCCTCCCTCCTCCTCCTCCTCCTCCTCCCCTCCTCTTTTCCCTCTCTCCTCCTCTTCCTCCTCCTCATTTCATCCTCATCCTATTCCTCCTCCTCATCCTCCTCCGCCTCCTCCTCCTTCTCCTCCTCCGCCGCTGCCGCCGCCTCCTCCTCCGCCTCCGCCTCCGCCTCCGCCTCCTCCTCCTCCGCCACCGCCACCGCTTCCGCCTCCTCCTCCTCCTCCTCCTCCTCCTCCTCCTGCTCCTCTTCCTCGTCTTCTTCTTCTTCTTTCCTCCTCCTCCTCCTCCTCCCTCCTCCTCCTCCTCCTCCTTCTCCTTATCCTCTTCCTCCTCCTCCTCCTCCTCCTCCTCCTCCTCCTTCCGTGGGGGGGCTGGGGGCCGTATTCTGGCACTCGGCATATCCTACCTCGAGGGTACACTGTCAGGGCTGCGCATCGCGGCAGGCAAGGAGAGGAAAAACCAGCTCCACGTTTTAGTACTAGCTGCTTGGCATGTTGCATTGCTGCATGTGACATTTCTGCGCCCGTTGCACTGGAGATGGGGACCAGGCGCGGGGATTGTGCATTTGGTTGAGAGGTGGGGCCATGAGGTCTGTGTCCACTCACCCTGGGGGACAGACCCAGCTGCACATGTCACTTGATTCGGCACGGTTGGCTGCGGTTGCCTGGACGAGGAACCTGTAATAATGGTGAAGGCTCAGGGGCCCAGCCGCCCTACGCTCCACGCCGTCTCGTGTGAGCTGGTCACGGGCGACGAGGTCTCCTCCATGTCCCTTGTTCGCGTCTTGGGAAAAAGACTTCGTCTTAGTGGTGCCTCCAGTGCCTCCTCCTCCTCCTCCACCTCCTCCTCCTCCTCCTCATCCTCCGCCTCCTCCTCCTCCTCCTCCTGCTCCTCGTCCTCCATCCTCAAGGTTTTGGCTCGAGAGGCTGGCTCGAGAGGCTGGCTCTAGGAGGGTCAAGGTTTCGTTCTTAATACTCCGATCCAGGCGCGGGGAGCGCGCCAGGAGCGGCGCTGGAAGGCGCCGCCAGGGGGGTCCAGCGCCGACCTGAGAAACCCGCGCGGAGCTCCGAACGTGTACGTTCTTGCAGTTCTTTCCTCGCTTGACGGACGCGGCCCGCAGTCGGTGCCCCCCCCCCTCCGCCAACTCCAGCGGCCGCCCCCGGCCTGGGCCTGCAGCATCGAGGCCACGACCGCGGGCTGCAGCCCCTTGCCCTGCATCAGCCGCCTCGCCTGCTCCAGCTGCTGCGTCTGCAGCCTCCTCGCTGGCGGCGGCAGCACGGGCGGCGTCACTGTCACCACGGCTACATGGATGAAGGCAAAGTGGCATAAACATGATGTTTCGGAGTTCCGCGCGGAATTCTCATGTCTGCGCTGGGCCCCCGTGGCGGCGCCTCCAGCGCCGTCCCTGGCGCGCTCCACGCGCTGGGGAAGGGGGTCCCAGCGCCGATCCGAGACATCTCCGTGGAGCTCCGAAAAAATATGTGAATGCCTGGTTCATCTTTCTCTCTCTCTCTCTCTCTCATATATATATATATACAAGACTGCATTGGCGCTTCGCGCCATGCACCTTGGTTCTTAAAGCTCGGCATGCAGGATGACCAAATATAGCGATGATTCATTGTTGCCGTTTGCGCCATCGTCGTTATAGTAATGTTATGTATTATCCTTATACTTCCTCTCCTCTTACTCGTAATCTTCCTTGTCTGCGAGCCACTCCTTGTCCTCATCCCCAGTTTTTATTGCAGGGGCTCCTCTTTGGAGGTGTTCTTGGGCCCCTCTCAAAAGCTTTTTGGGGACCTCTGGGGGCCTCCTGGGCGCCTTTTGGGGGCCTCTGGGGGCTTCTTGCGGCCACCTTGCTACCAACCACGGTCTCCCTGAACGACCGGGTCACGATTTGGAGTGCTTCGGGAGGCGTCTTGGGGCCATCTGGGGCTGTCAGCGGGGCTCTCTTGGGGCCATCTTGCGGCCCTGTTGGACCATATTGGAGCTCTTTTGGACTGTCTGGAAGCCCTTTGACACCGTTGTGGGAGGATTTTTGGGGCCTCTTCGGCGGACTCGGACGCACGGCACGGAATACCGAAGAACCGAATGTCCAAAAATTCCATAAAAAAACTAAAGGAAAGTGTTGTTTTTGCACTTGGAGGACCTCTTGGGGGTCTTCTTTGGGTCGTCTTCGGGCGTCTTGGGGCTGTCTGGGGCCGCGTGGGGCTCTCGCGGGGCCGTTTGGCCGCCCTCCTGACCGCTTTGGGCCCGCTGGCAAGGCCCGGCAGGGGCGTCCAGGAGGCCCGGAAGGCCCGGGGGACCCATTGCAAGGCGTCCAGGGGGCCCCAAAAGCGCCAGATCCCGGGGGTCCGATTTTCCGGGGGGGGGGGGTCCCACCCCCCCGGATTGTAAAAATATAGAAAAGGGAATATATATATATATATATATAGTTTCTGAGAATAAGCAAGTTGCTCGCACGGATCACCAGTGGAGCACCTGCCTGCCGCCCGAGGTCGTCATTCGCAGGAGAAGCAAAGGAGGGAACCAAGGCTGAGGCTACTGCTGACGGCAAGGTCGCGGTGTGCTGGCCGCCCCCGCGCAAGCGGGCGGCCTCGACGAGGGCGCCGAGAACGGAGGGCAGCAGCAACCACCTGCGCACAGAAGCGAGAGCTCCAGCCGGCCTTGGCCTGCTGACACGCGCGGGTCGAAGCGCGCGCGGCCCCAAAGCGAGAGAGAACGGGGAGGGCGGGAGAACGCTGCGAGCGGAAGCTGGCCCCGCAGCCCCCGTGGGGATGGCCTGCCCAAGCGACGGAGCCGCCGATGACAGTGGCAGATGCGTGGGCCAGCACCTCCTGCCTGGCACCCCGCCGAAGACGCCCCGCCCCCCCCCCCCCGGGGGGCCAGAAAGAAAACGGGACACTGCTCAGGCTGTCCGAGGGGCCTCCGCGGGGGGGGGGGCGCGGAGGGCCCCGGAAGGGCTCTGAGAGCGCCTGGGTGGACGAGGCGCGCTAGAGGAACAGGCATGGAATGAGGAACAGCGAGGCCTTCCGACGCTACTTATCTGAGCGTCTTGACTGCAGACTCCACGCACCTTCCAAGGCGCCTCGCAAGACCACTCGAAGGTTGCCAATGCAACTGACGACACGGAGGAAGCAGCCTGGCCAATCGCGCCCCCCGGGGATAGAGATATATGCTTAGTGCAAGCCGCTGGGGGAGACGTTATGTCTTTGTGGTCGTCTCCTCCCAGCAGGCCTCCGACAACAACCCCTGCTAGCCCTAAACGCTTCACGTACACATTCAGATACCGGACGCCACTATCCGTACATCCATGCGCGACTTTCAACTGGACCGAACCGAACGCAACCCATTGCGGAGCCTCGACCGCACTTTGCGATACGCTGTGGTGATACCCTCCAACTTATTTGGCTTCTGCCCAAGACCCTGTAACGTTCACTTCTTGGAAATACATGTCTGCACACCTTCCACCAAACCGGCGCGCATCGGCTTGCACATGAAGCAATGAGTCTTCAGCGCTCATTCCACGAGGGGCGTTTATCAGAACATGCTTGCCCTGCTTCATCAAATCGAAGCGCTCGCCATGAACGTTTTGAAGTTTGGGTCGCCAGTGGCAGCCACGCTTCCGCCAGCTCCGGCCGCAGCTGGAGCTGCAGGAGGGAACGTCGGATGTGGCGTCGGCCAACCTGGACGATACGTCGGGCTGGGCGTCGGGGTGGGCGTCGGGAAAAGCGTCGGGAAGGCAGTCGGGAAAGACGTCGGGAAGGGCGCCGGGAAGGCCGTCGGGAAAGGCGTAGGGAAGGAAGTCGAGACAGGCGTCGGGAAGCCCGTCGGGAAGGCCGTCGGGTAGGGCGTCGGGTAGGGCGTAGGCTAGTCCGTCGGGTAGGGCGTCGGGAAGGCCGTCGGGTAGGGCGTCGGGAAGGGCGTCGGGAAAGACGTCGGGAAGCCCGTCGGATAAAGCGTCAAGTAGGGCGTCGGCTTGGGCGTAGGGTAAGGCGTCGGGGAGGGCGTCGGATAGGGCGTCGGGAAGCCCGTCGGGAAGGCTGTCGGGTAGGGCGTCGGGTAAGGCATCGGGTAGGGCCTCGGCTAGAGCGTCGGGAAGGCCGTCGGGTAGGGCATCGGGAAGGGCGTCGGGAAAGGCGTCGGGAAAGCCGTCGGATAAGGTGTCGGGTAGGGCGTCGGGTAGGGCGTCGGGTAGGGCGTCGGGCTGGGCGTCGCACCACCGTTAATCTGAACTTTAGCGCACATGGTCCCACCGTTGTCACTCTCCGTGAAATAATATAGATCATCACCGTACCACAATCGGTACTCTCCGGCCGACAACGTCTTAGCCGTAGTCGTTCGCCACGTAAATTGGGGATCTGATTGGGAGCTGGCACCAGCAAGTGTGTACCACCCACCACCATGCGCGTTCGTCACGGTGTTCCCATTGTTGTTGTAGTCAGGAGACACTACGTTGTTGTTCGAATCGGTCATGAACACAACCTGAATTCCCCCACTTCGTGACCTCTTGCCCTCCATGATTGTAAACATTACCGCTGGAATATGTCAACAACACGTTAGAGACTGAAACGGCCGTGCTGATGTAGAAAGAACCGTACGAATTTCCACGCGCCCCGAAACAAACGGTAGGATCCGCTGCCGTCCCATAGCCGTACAAATCCACCTGGATGCTGCCGCCATTGTCATCGAACGATGATGAACGGGAAGGCTCGTACGACGTGGCGAGAACCGTATCACCGCTTGTTCTGTCGAAGCTGGCATTGCAGATGATTTCGGTCGATCCAGACGCGTAGCAATTGGAAGGCAACGTATGCCAATTGGGTTGTGACACTATGTACCCTCCATTCTTCATGGTCTCTAAAGAATTGCACCCACAACAACACTGTTGCCAGACGGTGCCACCCGACCTCCTCGTATCACAATAGATGCCACTTCCATTTTGGTACACAGCTTTTAACTGTGTGAAGAACCGTAGTTCATTGGTGTAGCATATGAGGGCATCCGCTCCCCGTAATATTCGAAATTGTCTAACGGCTGCACCCATTTGTTCGTCGTGTTGGCGCTGGACTCCGTCTTGCGAGAGACCGCTGTGGGCATGCGGAGGGGCAAAGACCGCCGCCGCAAAACGGTCCACGGCGCCTCGAAGGCTGCCATGCCACAGAACGAATAGAGGGAACAATATCCCGTGCGTGTTCTTGGAACCAAATTTGTGTAACGCGTGTATGGCTTGAGCCGGTGTTCGCGATGCGCCGTCGACGGCAACGCCTTCTCCTTCACCCTCCGGGACTTCGCCCCCGGTACCTGTCCGCGGCGCTCCTGCTCCTGCACATCCACTTCGGCACCGCCTGCACCCCTGGGCTTCGCCCACTCCGGCCGCCTGAGGCCCCGCCTTCCTGTACCCTGTCTCCCTAATTAAAGCTGTGCGTAGCCCGCCTAGCTTTTAGCGGAAGAGGTTCGCGCTCGCCCCGCAGATCAAAAAGTGTATGGCTTGAGCCAAAATGGGTACGGAAGTATGTGAATGCCTTGTTTTGTTTGACTGCCAGCCGCTATCCGTTCTCCATGCAGCGCCTGCTCTGAAGTGGGCCCTCCAAATCTCGAGGCTCGCCGGCGGCCCACTCTCCCCTTCGCCAGCCTCCTCACCGACTCTCGCAGGCTAACTCTGGTGGGCGACATGGCCGTCGCAAAGCTCCATCGCCCACACCGAGTGTGCTGTTGTAAGGAACGCTGAATCCGCCGATCCTTCGGCGTGTGCGAGACGCTCTCGTCGTCGGTCCTAAGGAGCTTGAAGAGCAAGGAAAGTGAGGAGCGTCGTTTTTTAATCGAAAAGCCCCAAGTGGTCCTTGTCTCAGCGTCTTGGCCGCACTGTGTCCTGGACACTCCTCTCCGCAACCCCGTGCCCTGGCCGTCTCCAGGCTCGGTCCAATGCCCTGCGTCCCTCGGGATCCATAAGCATCCGTCGGAATCCATTGGAATCCTTAGAAACCGTAGAAATCCATATGAATCCTTGCAAATCCCAGGGGATTCTCACGAACCCATGGGAGCGCCCTGAAGCCCGACTGTCTGCTGTCCGACTGTGGAGCTCACGCGCTTGGTCTTGATTTTCCTAAAAAAAGCGTATTTGCTCTTGGGGACTGGAGGGTCTCACTTGCTCTGCGAAGCACTGACCTGGTCCGCCGAGTTCTGGCGATTGCCGCCATTTGATTCCAAGGGCTGCGGGTGGGCGGTCCGAGGGGTTCCCGGGGTTGCAGCCATTAGCGTCTAACGGTTACCAATGGGCGGTAAGTCAGTTTCCAGCGGCTTCCAATTTCACACATGGTTGCAAGCACGGGCCGGAAACAGGCGGTTGTTGCAGTCTCGGTGTGATGCATGCGTGGTGCAACATGTGTATGGAGCAACCTACGTGACGCATTCTTACATCCCCCCAACAAGTGCTTGCACGTAGGGGCTCTCATATGTCTCCCTAGCGAAGTGGATGGGTCCGCCGAGGTTTCGCCACGCTGCTGCCCCCCTGGCGCCTCGAGGGGCGCCCCGTGCGCCGGGTGGGTCCGCGGAGGTTTCGCCCCGCTGCCGCCCCCCTGGCGCCTCGTGGGCACACCGCGCGTACGACGCAGCCCACACCACAGACTCAGACTCAGACGGCGGTGTGTCACCGCAGAAAGCGTGCACTTAGCCCGCATCACACCGACTCTCTGTTTCATATAGAAGGACGCGGCTCTACCGCCCTCCCCCTGGAGGACCCCGGTGTTGTCCGAACCCCCTGAGACACTGCAATTTACGTGTGGCTCTGCCTCGACGCTCGATGTTTCAAAAATCCGATGGACGGAACAATACACACTGCCCACCCCACACGCACGCGCGCATGTCGAGAACATACCCACAAACACACACACATACACACACACACACACCAACCGCGCAAACATTTCAACACCAAATCGACACAGATCCTTAGGTTCCCCGTTCCAAGTATTGCAAATGTCTTATCCCCGCACGCATGTGCTGAAACCTTGGGAAAACACAAGTTTTTGCCATCTCGCCCAAGACACACATTCTCATTGCACCGCGCGGAGCATCCGCGTTGATCCTGCCTGCGCCCACCGAACGACACCGCTTCCACTAAGACCATGCGGGCCACACGCACGCCTCGCCACGCGTGCATCGAAATCGTGCAAAAAACAACCTGGGTCTCGATGCGTTTCTAGAGAAAGCTCTTCAAAACATGTTGAATCAAAGTAAACGTTTCTTCAACAAACAATCAGCCAAGTATTTTTGCATGCCGGCGCGTGCGCACCTCCTCACCATGACCTTCATTAGCGCTGCCGCATCACCACCGTTATCGTCATGGCCAATCGCCGCAATTGTCGCCATCGTCAGTCAACCATCCTCATCACCGACGCATGTACATCATCATCGGCATCGTCGCCTGCAGCATGGGGGCCGTCATTGACCTTGCCGTCGTCAACTTCATCATCGCTACCATCATCGTTACTATCATTAGCATTGACCCCGTCATCGACGTCAACACGATACCGCGCCCGCCCGGGTCACCGACACGCCTTGAAGTGCCCGCGCGCCAGCGCGGCCTTTGTAAAACGTTGGAAAGTTCTCATCGGCAAGCGCCCTCGCGGCCGCATTAGCTGTGCCAAACCAGCTGGCCGCTCTGCGCGCGGGCTTGCACGAGCCAGCGCAGCTGGCCCGGGAAACCATCCAACACGAGGTCAAGACCGCACCACGGGATTTCGACGACGCTGAGGTTAACGACGAGAGCGAAGGAAAGGATGAATCGCAACGGTGTTGGCGACGGCATCAGCTGAGGGAGAAGCAGGAGCATAATGACCAGCGGCTGCGGAGCAGGAGCAGGAGGCAGAGGCGGTGGCGGACGCGACAGCAGCGGTTGCTCCTCGCGCCATGCGATGCGCGACGCGCATCTAACTCCGCGCCCTCACGCTCTCGCGCCGGCCCTCCCGCAGAAGGGCACTTCCCCAGTCTGGACCGCAACGCGCGAAGCGCGATCATCTTCGCGTCCCCGCGGGTGGCAGGAGGGAGCGGGGAGGCGCGGCAGCGGCAGGAGCTTCTGCGGCGGAGGCGGCAAGAGCAAACCCTCCACGGTACGGCGGACAGGGCTCGGCGCATCGGGAGAGCGCGCCCTCCTCTTGGCCGCGGCCGCCCTCTGCTGGGGCGTCATCCCGGAGGTGTCCCACTCGCCGCCCTGGGCATTGCCACCGCGCCGCCGTGTGTCCCGCCCACCTGGAGCCTCTCCAAGGTGCCACATATCCTCGCCACCGCTTTGACCACCGCTGCCGACGTCATCTGCTGTTTCACTGTTGTTTCTCTCTCTCTCTCTCTCCCACTCAATCTCTCCCTCTCCCACTCACTCTTACTCTCACTCTCACTCTCGCTCTCACTGTGAAACTGTCGCCACTTTCGAAGCCTGCTGGGGGGCCCAGCATAGTGGGTACTCACCGCAGACTCAAATTAGACCTCGCCATCCCTGGGGGGCTGCGATCTGTGAGCAGACTCAAATTAGACCTCGCCACCCCTGGGGGGCTGCGATCTGTGAAACTGTCGCCACTTTCGAGGCCTGCTGGGAGGCCCATCACAGTGGGTACCCACCGCAAACTCAAATTAGACCTCGCCACCCCTGGGGGGCTGCGATCTGTGAAACTGTCGCCACTTTCGAAGGCTGCTGACAGTGGGTACCCACCGCAGACTCAAATTCGACCTCGCCATCCCTGGGGGGCTGCGATCTGTGAAACTGTCGCCACTTTCGAGGCCTGCTGAGGGGCACAGCACAGTGGGTACCCACCGCAGACTCAAATTAGACGCCGCTTTCGTCCTTGTTCTCCTCCTGCAGTCACCTTCCCTCTGCTGCTGCCGTGCTGATGGTTCGGCTTCCCGCACGTTTTTCTCCTGCTCTGCGCTCCCGACTCCCCATGTCCTCTTCGAGCCTGTAGCTGTCGCCCTTCGTTCTTGCATGGTTCTCCTGCGCATCATGCCATAGGCGCGTGTCCCAAGTAGCTCACACATCAAGTTCATTGTCCATGCAAGGTTCGGCCAACTCCTCGTTTCAATTGATACAAATGGGTTGGGTACGCCACAGGGTAATTCTGATTCTTTGCCCGTGCACGCCGGTGCCCATGGCTGCGGGCGCGGCCCGCACGGAATCCCCGCGACGCACACTGGTCGCCCCGGAGGGGTCCCGGCGACGCGCGTGGGTTGTCCGCTGCGCGGAGCAGAGAGAACTAGCTGGCTGGTCGAAGCCAGATCAGGCTGTGGCCGCTGGGCGGAGCGACGACGGGGGCGAGCGAGGCCATGGGCAAAACGCAGCGCGGAATTCCCGCGACGCGCGCTGGTCGCCCCGAGAGGGCCCCAGCGACGCGCGCGAGTCGCCCGCGGCGCGGGGTCAAACAGTTAGACCGTCGAGAGACGGCGAGGCGCGGGCGGGCCGCTTCTCAGGTCACGCCTCGCGGATAAATTCGGCGATGTCTGATGGCCACGGGGCCCGAAAGCGGCCTCCATGCGCCGAAGACGACGAAAAGCGCCCAAAGATCGAAATTCGCTGCCATGCGGACTCCGCCACTGGGCCGCCATGCAAACTGCGCCACTGCGACCTTAGGTCTGGCTCTTTGCGGCCACGAAGCGTGTGAGGGGCATGCCAAAATGGGGCGGGGCCGCCATGGGAGCTGCGCCACTGAGACCTTCGGTGGGGCTCCCTATAGGAGTCACGAAACGTGTGAGGGGTGTGCCAACATGGGGCGGGGCCGCCATGCCAGCTGCGCCACTGGGACCATTCATTGGTGAAGCTCCCTATGGGGCCACGAAACCTCGCGCGCCGGCCACGGCGCGGAGCCCGCGGTGCCCGCGCCGAGGGGGCCCCCGGCGGGCCGGGGCCGCGCTGGAGCGCATCTGCCTCGAGCCCGCTGGCCTGCCTTGAGCCAAAATGGCTACGGAGCCTACCCCCCGAGGATTCTGAAGAACTCCAAGAGGACACACAAGAAGGCACCACTCAGATCACTCCTAGAGGATACCAAGCAGGCGATGAGGTGAAGGGGAGAAGGGGGATACGCGGAGCGGGAGAAGAAAAGCAGAAGGCTGGCAGGACAGACAGAGCGCCAAGTCCACTGTCACCCAACAGACACACTTGGTCTTTCGCACCCCGAACTATCACTATATATTGACGTCAGGTGCTGTGAGGTCACACGTTGGCAGTGGCTGCGAAGCGGTAGCGAATCTGTTGGTGAGGACAGCCTCGGGTCAGACATCCAAGGCATGCCACACGACTCGCGATGCGCCGGACATCACGAAGTGCAGCGGAAAACGGTTCTGCTGCAGCCGTCTCATTCTCGCAATCCCACGCCCCGCCATAGAGGGGCAACGCCGCGATTGTGGCAGGAAGAACGAGGCAACTATCAAGATCCAGAGCGCGAAGAGTGCGTGGGTGGCTGGCGCGCTTTCGTTCCACACCAATAGGGCTCCGCACGTGAGAGTCCACTACACGCTGGTTTGCAGGCACCCTGGGATCATCATCTGCACACGGCCTCGCGGCCGTGGTTGTCGCAACCCCAGATCTAGAGGCAGCTCGGGGTCGCCCAAAAAGGCCCAAGGACTGCTCAAACGAGCCTCATCGAGCTCAATGGAATGTTCGACCCCAGGACGGTCTAGATATCCTTCAAGGGTCCCCTGCAGGCCCCCAAAGGCTCCCAAGAAGCCGCCCAACAAATACTCATGAAGCGGCCAAAACGCAAAGTAACATACATGCTAGATTATGGCGGCGCCGCGCCACAGCATCGTAGCGCCGTCTACTAGACGCAACAAAAGTAGGTGTGGGGGCATGGTTGGGAATCTCGGTCGAACAGCCCCGCATGCATGTCGATACTGCGCTGGCACGGTAGCGGGGTCTGCCACAGGCAAGTGGATATCTACTGAAGCTTACCTTCGCCATCGCTAACTCATGATTCGTCTACTGGTGCTGCGACTCGCTCTGGCAATGCAACTATAGCAAACAAAGGTGGCAATAGTGGCAATAAGAAGTCGTGAAACGAGCAGCGATAGCGACGTCTTACTTGCCTTTTGTCTGGCCGCATCGTCAAAAGCGCTGGTATCGCCAAAGAGGTCCGCATTCTTCATGATTGCTATACTTCCAGGCTGCTGCCATTGTGAACTGTACCCGTCGAGGGTACTGTGCACCGACCTGGTGGCTGATGTCAGTGGTGTTGCGTCAATGTGTTGCGCGACGTTCAGAAATAACACCGCTGCTGGCAGTGCCAGTACGTCTGCACTCGAGAGCGCTAGTGATGTTGCAATTGCGACTGGTGCCTCTCCGAGCCAAACTGCCTATTTCCATGATGGCATTCGTACGCATGAGAGCTACGGCTGTTCAGACTGTTCTCAGGAGCAAACATGTTAACGTGAACGGTGGCGCTAGTGCAAGCGCGCATACGCGGGCAACAAATGCGGGCACTACTGCTGGTGCCAGTGCCGTTGTTACTCTTCGAATGTCTTTGGCGAATTGGAATGGCTGTCACCGGTGACAGTGATGGTTCGATACTTGTCCGTGCGCTACTGATCGAAATGCTAGTATACGTTAACGGCTGAACGCCTCAAACAATCCAACAACAAAATACAGCATTGTTGAACTGCGACTGTAGCATGTAGCAATAAATCAGGTTCCTTCTCTGTGCCATCCATGGACAGACTGTGCCAGTACTCCTCCAAAGATGCAATCCTTGGGCGTGTTACGCGAGAGGGGGAGGGGGTCGTAAGAGCTGGAAAGAACATGAAAGAGAGACACAACACATGCAGAAGCCAGGTGAAGTCAGAGAGGGCAATGCCGATACATGTCTGCTGGCTGCCAGCTGCGCGCAACACCTGAAAACATGAAAACCAGCCGAGCACCAGTGGTTGGGCTGATTCCTCGCAATGCGGTGTGTGTGTGGGAGGGGGGACTCACGCAGGAACATGCGCTCACAACAACATGTCTGCTGCCCTCCTCCCTATCCAATCCAACCAGCCTGCTGTTTCCTCCTTCATCCTTGCAAGTGCAGCGGAAGCCGTTTATGCAAAACGATGTTGACACCGAGTTACCAGGGTCATGAGACCTGCCCCCTGGCGGTAACAAACTGATCGTGCGCCACACGGCGATGGGCAACATGCCGTTCCCCCGACACCCTGCTGCAAATTCTAGCAAGCGTCCCTCCTCATCATCCTCGCCTCGCGTCTGTGCTGCATTCCTGCTCCTCCTCAATCTCCATCCCCCCCTCTCTCTCTCTCTCGCTCTTGCTTTTGTTTTCTCTCTCTCTCTCTCTTTCTCTCTCCATTTAGATATAAACATGAATACATATGCACACATACACATTAACATTTGTGTGTGTCCCTCTGCTCTCACTCTCTCTCTCTCTCGCCGACTCCTTCTCTCTCTCTCTCTCCCTCTCTATATCTGTATCTCCCTCTCCCTCTCCCGTTCTCCCTCTCTCGCCCCCCTGCTCCACCTCTCGCCGTCTCCTCCGCTCGACCTCCTCCTGCTCATCGTTCTCCGCTGTCTCCGCCAACCCCTGAGGAGAAGAAGGAGGATAGCACAAGGGGGGCGGGCAGGGAGGAGCAGGAGCAGCAGCGGCAGCAGGAGGAAGGAGAGGACACCGACGGTGAGGGGAGAGGGAGGGCGACGAGGGGATGGGGGGGGATGGGGAGGGGGGGAGGACGACGAAGAGGAAGAGGACGGCGGGATAGCGCTCGAAGGCGCAGTGCCCCAGCGTGCAGGGGCGGACCCTGATGCCAGCGGCGGGGCGGCGAGAGGCGCGGCCCGCGCCGAGCGGCGGCGGCATCTCGCCGCCGCCCGCGCCTTCTGCACGGTGCCCGCCCGCAGCCCCGCGTGCAGGGGGGGAGGGACGTAGTCGAGTCGAGTCGAGTCGAGTCGAGGAGGGAGAGAGGGAGGGAGGGGAAGGGGGCACGGGAAGGGGGAGGGGGCAGGGCGAGGGGGAGGGGGCAGGGGGAGGGGGAGGGGGGGGGAGGGGATGAGGATTTGGTTTCACACGCACCTTGCCCTGGCGAGAGATTCACCCCAGAAGGAGCGCCCAGAGAGGCCGCGAGACCTTAGGCAGTGGCTGACGCTGCAACCAAGCAGCCCAAGGAAAGCGCCGACCAGCGGCGCAAGGAAAAGACCGAGCGGGCAACTTGCGTTCCAGGGAGAGCATCCATGGACTCTTGATGAGGACTGTCCCTCACCTCCTGCACGCTCGGCCCCCCCTCCGCTTTGGCAGGGGGGAAGAAGACTCACACGGTGGACGGCCCTGGCCTCTCCTGCTCGTCGGGAGAACGGCAACAGGGATAAGGTACCCCGTCCCAGCGGTGCCCCCTCGAGGGTGAGTGCACGACGCAACGACGACTGGATCGTTCCGCTGGGACGGGAGGTCACTGGTGGAGGAGGAGGAGGAGGAGGAGGAACATCAGGGGCCAGATGGGTGACCTGCGAACCCGCAGGGGAAAGTGAGACAGTGGGAGGGGAGGCTTACTTGGAGGTCAGCGACAACTGCAACCAATGCGTCACCGTTCCCACTTTGGTTCTCAAATCGGCTGTTCGGGATTAGCCGGCCACCTGTGCGGCCCGCATCACTCGGGGCATGTCCCCTGACAAGCGATATCTCAACAAGTTGATCTCGAGAGGAGGCTGTCCCTCCAGCCGACCGTGAGACCGCTTGGAAGCGACAAAACAGAGGTGATCAGCTGCCCTCCACTGAGCCAAATATCATGCCCCCCCCTTCCCTTCCGCCCGTACGCCGCGGACATCTGGCTCAACGATTCGAACACGACCCTGCAACCACCGACACCCGAGCCCCACAGGTCGACCCAGCGTGCATGTACCCGCAGTTGAGCCACCTGCTGATCCAAATTGGGACAGAAACTCAAGGACGGGATCGACACATGTATCCCCACGATCGACTACAGGATCTTCAACCGTCTCCCGAGGATCACTTCCCCCGACAAGGCCCAGTTCAGGACCACCGAGGACACCAACGACCCGACTTCAAAGAGCGCAAAAGAGGGTACAAGTACAAGAACTACAGCAGCAAGGACGACTGGACATCGCACCGAGTGCCACCCCGTAATTCCAACAAGATGACCAGCCGAGGGCACCACAGGGGAAAACATACGACCGAGTCGAACTGCTCGACTACAAACAACCAAATGACCGTCGAGTGGACCCGCAATTCGCAAAACCAACGGCCCGAGCACCAGACAAGTCATAGATGGGACTACTGCCAGGGACGCTCACAAAGAAGTACACTTACGCAGCACTGGAGTTCGGACAGGTCTTCATCCCAACCAACACGCCAAGAGGATGGATGAAGACGCTGAACCACCACCACTATATCCTCGCCAAGTTGGGAGCGACCACCACCGAGTGGAAGAGGAGCAGAGCAGAGAAAGCTGAAGACGCGAGAATGCTTCTCCGACCGGAATCACGCGGACATCGACATCAACAACATGGACCGCCACTGCATGGCACGGCCGACCCACATACCTTGCTACAGAATGGCAGGATGGGTCAGAAGCAGGGACGACGGCAACCATAACGACACACACGGCCGCTCTACCGTGGGAGCGGGCCAAGGAGCGTGCATAGGCGAACGTGATCTACCTAGTCCCGCCCTAAACTGGCCCGCACGGGACAGAGATGCCCGACGTCGACCAGATCCACAAAGTCCTGACTACGATTGAAGCGAGCCTACCTACAGGGCGCGGAACGCAGGGACATCCACTCTAAGACCCGCAACGCCTCCTACCTGCTCCACTCGACCGACGAGTCCGACGAGTACAGTAACGTACAGGAACCGAGCGAAGCTCTATCCCTCCTCCTCTATCTGACAGACGCCATGACAACCATGGGCGCCAGGGCCGTACATCCGCACAGTGACAACAGCGTCTTCGACGAGAACAACTTGCATGTGGCACCAAGGACTCGCGCAGGCCTCCGCGCCGCAGAAGGCGACCCCAACGGAGACCTGGCACATTTGATCGAGGTCACGGACGAAGAGTACCACCTCCTCAGGGACTACATTGCCGAGCCCAAGGCCACCATCGACCGATTCAACGAGGTGACCGAGAGGTACGAGTTCCAACTGGAGCCACCGTCCATCGACAACCCACAGTGGCCCACCTTTGCAGGAGTCAGCTGGCACCTACCAGCCAGCGTCACACGCGAGGACACCGTCCAGGGCCAACACACAACCACGGACATGACGCACCTCCAGAAGCAGACGCGATCGCACGACCACCACCTCCTGAAACCGCTTGATGAGGAGCCGACAGAGATCGGAGTCTACAGCTGCGTGAAAACACTTGTAATTAGCCGACGCCCATGACCTCACGACACAGATTCCACCTGAAATGCGTGCGCGAGGAAGGAATATGCTAACCAAGATGCGGAACGACTTGCACAACGGAGTCAACGACGACTACGAGGCACAGATCGAGCTGACGGCTTCGCGAAACGCACGCCGACCAGCGAGATCACCCCTTCCATGCACAGCACCCAAATTGCGAGGGTAGACCGACCAAGACCACAGCAAGCCACAACAAGGCACCCGAAGACGACTGATCGAATCATCACTGACCATTCGACTCCACCGGGCAGGCACCCACGGCGAGCCGCCACCACCAAACAGCCCACCTGCGCCATTTTATCCCACCGAACTGCACGACCTGGGACGCACACACGCTGGCACAGGCCCTCCAAAAAGTCGGCCTCTCCCAAGGCTTACCTCTGGCCCCCCACCATCGACTACCCTTGCCGAAGCCAGGGGTCGCACACCCTGTCGACAACACGCCTGCGAAGTGGCACGCCCAGGTATATCACACAGCCTGGACACCAGAGAATCCACGTGGGACGACCCAGGCAGTGCGATGCTACGTCCAGGCTGGAAGAGAGCTTTTTGTCTTCTGACAACGTGAAGGCACGTCCTCAGGCGCGACGGGCTACGGGAAGCACGCTTGTTCGGGATGACCCACAAGCAGACTGTGCTCGAACCACTTCGTTCACCACCAGCTCGCCACGAGGCTAACATACCAGATCGGCAACGACTGCGACGACATACCCACGCCAGCTGCAGTGGCCTACCAACGCCGCAGTCTATTTATGCACATCTAGCTGGGCACACGCTACAATCCGACATCCCAGCCTGTGCCTTCTGCTATTACGCGGTTCCGGAGAGGGACTGCCGCTGCAGCCATCAACAGGATCAACGAGCTGATCAGCGCCCAGGACCCCGATCTGCGCGCCGCTACCTCAGAGCATGTGACCCAACCACAGGGTGTAGCAGGCCAGCCGCAAGACGCTACCAACCCCAAGCAACCCAACGCAAGCACGGGCTCTAGCCCACACTCCGAGCCACAGCACCACGATCCGCAGTCAGAAGTGCCAGCATTGCAAGACCAGGAGATGAACTTCAGCAACACCATCGCCAGGCTCAACCGCTTAGAGAAGTCCCTCGCTCAACTTGCAGCATGGCGCGAACAGCGCCCAGACCTATGCGCCCAGCCCACCGCTGAAGCGAGGGCCGACCCGCAGCAGCACAACAGCCCAAAGTCGCATGCGCAGCTGGCGTTGACGCATAACGACCACCAGCCGGTGCCAGCAGATGTCCGCACCACGATCACCGACCAAGATGCAGCCACGCCTGCCTACGACCCCAGCTCCCCCGACCGTCCTGGAAGTGTGGGCGCACCGAC